TTTAGAATTCATCTCTAGCAAAGATGATTGTGTAAAATAAAAATATTTTACAATTCATCTTTGCTTGACCTAATGTTACGCTTACCTTAACTAATCAACATTCTTTTTAATTATAATATTCTAGTTACATAAATGTAATTATTGAAACTTAAGTAGATCTTTTTTTTTAAATTACTGTTGATTTTTTCATAATTTCAATGTTTAGGAAGATAAGATGTTTTTAATAAAGAATGTTGTGAGAAGTTAGCAAAGATAAACATTAATTTATCTTTATTCATATTTATCACTCTGGACAGCAGCAACGATATCTTGGTTTCCAGGAATTCACTCTGTCCGCTGAAATTAAATAACTAAGAACAAGATTTATCCCCTTCCAGGAATTTTCTCCGTGCGCTTGTTTTCGGGAAAGCTTCAATCACTTCTGATTGTTTAACCAAGAATTTTTTTATTGTTTCACTTTATTTTTTTTCCCGATACAACAATCAAGTGTTACCCGCCGAATTGAATAGAAACTAAGTGTATTTAGAGGGAATTCCTGTATAAACTTGACTCCGGGATTAACCTTCTAACAGTGAACGAGTTACCTTATCTTTCAGTTATTGTACAGTCCGCAAAAAAAAAAAGATATCACCCTGAATAACTTTCGTTCTAATGATCGGATTTTCACGAACTAAGTGTCAATCTTAATGGTTCCTGGGGGTGACCTCAAATATGCTAATTAATTAGTGCTAACTATTAATTAAGTTACGAAATCAGACACAAAAACGTACTTTCTCTGAATAAACATATATTTTTTCTTACATATTTGGATTCTTAACCTTCAAAATATAGGGGGTAGCCGCAATCTGGGAAATATGGTCCCCATAGTTTGGTCAGGAGAGCGATCCAAAGTTCGTACCCCTTAATGTTAATTTCACTTTTTACGTTTTTAGTCATATTTTAAAAACTAATAAAGCAATTCGAAGAAAATTTCACCCAGTCATAAAACTCATTTACCCAAAGATAATTTCACGAAAAAAATAATTTTTAATAATTGTTAATTATTTTTTATTATTTAATTAAATTAAGGATGAAAAATTTTTGAATTATAAGGTATGAATTTTTTTATACCATATTAATCTACATATTTTTCAATTGAAAAATCTAAAGTTTCAACTGTTTTTATTTATTAGAAGCTGAGAAAAATTAAAATTAATTATTTTTAAAAAAATAATTTGGCGACAATGAAGAAATGATTAAATGGAGCGATTAATATTAAAATGTGATAAACTTGCGAGGAACTTGACTTCGCGCGCTTAGCATAAAATTTCATTCATATTTTTTTCGCTAATAATCGTTTGCTTATCTTTTCATTTTTATTTTTTTAAGCTATAAAATACGATGTTTCTTCTTTAGTCGTCTAAAATTCTATTTGCAATTTAGTAAAGAAATTTGAATAAAACATTTTATTGAATAAAATACATTTTATTCAGAGAATGTGGAGTTTTATAAAAGCATGCTTCTGATAGAATATGATTATACAACAGATTGTGCTTCTTTAATGTGATTATTTTTTATTTTTTTTTTCTCAATAACTGATAAAATTTCAATAATATACATACGAATGAATAAATTTGGAATAAAATATTCATCAATTTCTTGAATATATATTTTATAAATATTAATAAAAATACGCAGTCAACATTTTTAAGCATCTCTCACAACATCGCAAATTTCTCAAAATCTTATAGGGTAAACTAACCAGTGAAGGAATACTTAAGCTTAGCTTGTCTTTAAAAAAAAATCATAAAAATTTCAAAATTTGTAATTTTAGCTAAATGACGTATTTGTTATTAAATGCATGTCGACATATTTGTTATTAAATGCAAATTATGTAAAAAAAATTTAGATAACTTACATAATATTGTTTTAAGCTTTTGGTGGTTTAAATAATAAGTAGTAAGATAACCAAGTGAAGGAACAGTTCTTAAATTGAATAAACACTAAATTTTCCAGTGAATGAACACTTAATTTTGAGAATGTTTGATGCTCGTTAGGAATCCTTAGGCCACACAGATATCTGTCGCCCTGTAGATGCCTGAATTGACGGATGTTAACACAGGCGGGCATTAGGAAAAAAAAATCTTTTAAGTTTTCGTGCCCCCATTTCAGTATCTTAAGGGCCTTACGAGCTCTGTTTAAAAAGAGAGTATCATATCATATATATATATATATATATATATCTGATATGATACTCTCTTTTTAAACAGAGCTCGTAAGGCCCTTAAGATACTGAAATGGGGGCACGAAAACTTAAAAGATTTTTTTTTTCCTAATGCCCGCCTGTGTTAACATCAGTCAATTCAGGCATCTACAGGGCGACAGATATCTGTGTGGCCTAAGGATTCCTAACGAGCATCAAACATTCTCAAAATTAAGTGTTCATTCACTGGAAAATTTAGTGTTTATTCAATTTAAGAACTGTTCCTTCACTTGGTTATCTTACTACTTATTATTTAAACCACCAAAAGCTTAAAACAATATTATGTAAGTTATCTAAATTTTTTTTACATAATTTGCATTTAATAACAAATATGTCGACATGCATTTAATAACAAATACGTCATTTAGCTAAAATTACAAATTTTGAAATTTTTATGATTTTTTTTTAAAGACAAGCTAAGCTTAAGTATTCCTTCACTGGTTAGTTTACCCTATAAGATTTTGAGAAATTTGCGATGTTGTGAGAGATGCTTAAAAATGTTGACTGCGTATTTTTATTAATATTTATAAAATATATATTCAAGAAATTGATGAATATTTTATTCCAAATTTATTCATTCGTATGTATATTATTGAAATTTTATCAGTTATTAAAAAAAAAAATAAAAAATAATCACATTAAAGAAGCACAATCTGTTGTATAATCATATTCTATCAGAAGCATGCTTTTATAAAACTCCACATTCTCTGAATAAAATGTATTTTATTCAATAAAATGTTTTATTCAAATTTCTTTACTAAATTGCAAATAGAATTTTAGACGACTAAAAAAGAAACATCGTATTTTATAGCTTAAAAAAATAAAAATGAAAAGATAAGCAAACGATTATTAGCGAAAAAAATATGAATGAAATTTTATGCTAAGCGCGCGAAGTCAAGTTCCTCGCAAGTTTATCACATTTTAATATTAATCGCCCCATTTAATCATTTCTTCATTGTCGCCAAATTATTTTTTTAAAAATAATTAATTTTAATTTTTCTCAGCTTCTAATAAATAAAAACAGTTGAAACTTTAGATTTTTCAATTGAAAAATATGTAGATTAATATGGTATAAAAAAATTCATACCTTATAATTCAAAAATTTTTCATCCTTAATTTAATTAAATAATAAAAAATAATTAACAATTATTAAAAATTATTTTTTTCGTGAAATTATCTTTGGGTAAATGAGTTTTATGACTGGGTGAAATTTTCTTCGAATTGCTTTATTAGTTTTTAAAATATGACTAAAAACGTAAAAAGTGAAATTAACATTAAGGGGTACGAACTTTGGATCGCTCTCCTGACCAAACTATGGGGACCATATTTCCCAGATTGCGGCTACCCCCTATATTTTGAAGGTTAAGAATCCAAATATGTAAGAAAAAATATATGTTTATTCAGAGAAAGTACGTTTTTGTGTCTGATTTCGTAACTTAATTAATAGTTAGCACTAATTAATTAGCATATTTGAGGTCACCCCCAGGAACCATTAAGATTAACACTTAGTTCGCGAAAATCCGATCATTAGAACGAAAGTTATTCAGGGTGATATCTTTTTTTTTTTGCTGACTGTACATGTACTTTGAAGACGAGATACTTCGTCATCCAGAAATTTCTGTGCACTAGGGGTCTAACCGCACTAGTAAAACACATGAAATTTCTTCCTTTAACTTTAAGATGTAATTGTTCCAACAGAATATTTAATTTCTACTCTTTAGTAAAATAAAGACGTTAATTAAAATACTTTACAAATCATATAAATAACTAATTGGAAAGATAAAAACTTATGCAAAGTGAGCTAATTTAATTTTACATTTTAAATAAGATTATGCAGGGTGTTCCATAAGTACCACCTTTAATACACATTTTCTGAATCATTATCAAAAATGAAGATAAGACAGGAGATACAACATCGGGTATCGCACATTTATGTATTTAAGCTAAGAAAAAATAACGTTATTGAGTTCTTTCCTTAACTAGTGATTAAAGCCTTAGTAAAAAGCGCCAAAAACTCGCTTGATTTTCTGTTGAAACATGTTTCTAATAATAGCCTGCTATCTTCGCCCTGTTTTCTCGAATAATCAAACATGAGCCACTATGGCTCGGGTGATGGAGTGTTCGCCTTCCAATGAGGCTAACCGGGTTCGAATCCCAGTCGATACGAATTCCGCACCCGGCTTGCACCGACCACAGTGCTGACGTAAAATATCCTCAGTGGTAGACGAATCATGAGTTAGAGTCCCCTTGCTGTCAGGCTAACCGTAGGGGGTTCTCGTGGTCTTCCTCTCCATGTAACGCAAATGCGGGGTTAGCTCCGTCAAAAAGTCCTCCACGAAGGCAAATTTCTCCCAATACTCGATCCAGGAGTTCCTTTGTCTTCTGGTTTGAGTCCAAAATTGCAAGGCTACGGAGTAGAACATTAGTAATCGTAAACCCATTAAATTGGGTCGACTGTTCAACGACGGTCATAAAATAAAATAAAAAACAATCAAACATGATTTTATATTTTTATAGCTGCCTTACTCACTAGTGATTCGCAATAAATTGATAACGTGATAATTTTTACCTTTTTTTCTTTATTTCATAATTGTATCAGATATTTAATAAAACATAGTCCTGCTTACCACTATCAATTAATTATACTGTCGTAGTCTTTTGTTAATTTTTTGTATATTTTTTTTATTAAAAATTTCAAAAAAAACAAAAAACAATTTTTGTAAAATTTGATAAATTATTTATTGTATTTGTTTTTTAGGTGGAATGCAAGAAGGCCCAGCCCAAGGAGGTGATGATGCCCAGTAATGTTGCGCGCGGAAGGGGAGCAGGTAGGGCTACGTACGGTAGGTGGCGCTACTGAGCTGCTCTCTCCTCTCATGCAGACGGGCGTCATTTATCCATTCTCATCATCATCATCCTTTTTATATTTATGTCCTCATATTCTTTTCTCTCTTTTTTAATTTTTCATCCTATTTTTTATCCTTTCGTTATCTTTTTTTTTATCTTAATTTTACTCCTGCAAGTAAGAATCATTTTGTATTTGTCGCAACGTCGTGGAAAATCAGGCATTAAATTCATTTTTTTTTCTCACGTGTCTTAAACTTTTAAAGAGACGACATCAGAAGAAAACTCTTGTTGAAAAAAAAAATCTTTTAAACAGAAAAAAAGAACTGTGGGACTTTTCATCTCACAGATAAATTAGCGTCTTACTTTTTTAAAAAAAAATAATAACTTTGTAGTGAATAGCTTAATGACACTGACTTTATAAAGGTAAAAAAATTTTCCAACTTTATAAAGCTGTGATTATTAAATAGGACAATTAAATAAAATTTTGAAAAAATAATTATTTAAACTTCAAAATCACGAGGTAGCTCATTTTTTTTTTAAAAAAAATTGTTAATATATATATTTTTTTAATAAGGACTATTTTAATTTCTTAAAGATTCTTGTCACACAGTTAATTTTTAACTCAAAATTCTATTTATACTACTAATATATATATAAGAAATTCTAATTTCAATAAAAGTGAATAAAATTTTTAATAAATATATATATGTAAAAAGTTATCTAAGTTCTATTTGATATTAAATATTTCTTTTTTGTACTTATCTTGGTGAATATTGGGCTTAAATTAATTGTGATTTTTATTTATCATTTTTTTAAATAGTTATATTTATTTTTGGAAGGTTAGTTTAGGCATGAAAATCAGTTATAAATCCTTTTTTAAATTTTATTAAAGGAAAGATTTGAACTTAACCACCTGTCACAATAATTAATTTTTATATGAACTGTGGAATTAAAAAAAATGTGGCATACCAATTTATATTTAAATATACATCGAGATAAAAGAAAAATTAGTAATTAAGTCATAAAAAATATGTAAATCAGTAAAGAGTTTAAGATTTTTATAATTAATTAAATTTAATAAGTTATATAAAATAAAAGGTTTACTTGTAACAAAAATATAATTCTAAATACTTGTGGAATAACTAAAACTAAAATATTTTCTGAATTAAATTAAACTATAAATTACATTAAAAAAGTAACTTAATAATCAAATACTTATTCTTACCTTAGTTTTATGCCTTAGATAAATAAATACTTTAGTCCCAATGGTTTTTTTAATAGCTTTCACAATACTACGCTAAAGTAAACAAAGTAAATTTGAAATAAATTTATGAATGTCCTGAATGTTTAGTTTAAAAAATTAATTTCATTTTTTACAGTAAAAAATTTGAAAGTCATATTCAATGCACGAAGCATGAATAATGTTTCTTACTAATTTTCATGATTCCTATTTTACTTTTACATCCTTCATTTTCCCGCTTTTTATTCTCTTTTTTATATATGATATATCATAACCTTTACTCATTATTGGAATTATATAATATTATAATATTGAATTGTATTCTATAAAATAGAAAATTTGTTAGCATTATTTGCCATGCTTCAGAACGTTTGAGAGTACATATCTATAGTTTTAAACAGGAAAGTCTGGTGCCTAAGTGTGGTTTCATTGATTTGAGCATGTCACATTATTCTGACGCTATCTATCACTACAAATTTTTATTGCTAGACCAGATAATGGCCTGGATTATCAAAAACAAGTTATTCATCATAAAATGTTTCTAAAAACTGCTCATCATTGTTCAGTACTTTAACATAAAACAAATTTTATCACTTGAAAAATATTTTCAAGGGATAAAAAAGGGATTTCTTTAAAATTATTTCGTATTTAGTATCTTGTTTCATACACGAAAACTTACTTTAATTTGCAAATCATTCACTATTAATCAATATTACTTTATAATTTATAAATTTTGTTTCTCATTGTTTAGAATAATGCTTGTATGAAATATTTGATATGAACTTATTCAGTTTTAAAGGAATAAGACTTATAACGTTTTATTAAGAGTTCCTATATGGAAAGAAATTAAACCTTAACAACCTAATTAAGTTTACTAGTTTTATTTTTCATGTTAATTGTAATGATAAATAAAAATAGGAAATTCAGGGATTAAATTATGATTATTTTCTAATTGTCCTCAAATAATTCACAAATAATCATTATTAAATTTGTAATTTGTGAACTTTGTTTTTCATTGTCTAGAATAGTTTATGTGTGTGATATTTAGTATCAATTAATTCATTTTATTGTGAGAAGACTTAAACGTTTTATAAAGTTATGTTATAACGAAAAAAATTAAACCTAAACACCCTAATTCTTTTATGTGCCTTCATTGTTATTAAATTATAAAATTATTATCCTTAATATTCTTTTTAATGATGCTTTTTTAAAGGTAATAAAAATATGAAAGTACAGTCATTGGTAATCTTTTATCATTTTGATGAAGTCTAATTTACATTTACAATAAAATTATTTATTTATTTTTCCTTGTTTCATTTATATACTTGCTAATGAATTTTAAAACAATTCTTGAAATTGAATGCAAACTAATAAATTAAATTTTTGATAAATTAATTAAAAAAATGTTTAATAAATTATTTAAAAAATGTTGCAGCCGCCGTATCTTTCTTAAGCTTTCTCGTTTGATTCAGTAACCTAATAAATTAACGTTTTATTTTCAATACCACGTTTCATATGTATGTTTAAGTAGATAATGTATGTTTTGTTTTATCTATTTAAACGTACGTGTATTAAAATAGATAAAAAAATATTATAAGTAGTTTTGATTTCCATAAATAATTTTTGAAAAACTCGAATTAAATTTCTTTGATTAACTTATTTTTAATTGATTCTTTAGAATGCTCAGAAATCTTGTAACTAACCTGTCTTTGTACACTGTTAGAAATTTCTCGGTAAAAATGGTTAAAAAACAATTTAATTGTTATTTTACCATATTCAACCAAGACAGTTAAATAACCATTAAAAAAAGATGATATTCAAACTGTTAAGTGCGAGTAAAATCGTTTATTGGTTGCTTTTACATAATACGGCTTAACAACCAGAATTCTATTCGCGCCAACTTGGCCCACCTTATGAAGTCAGTTAGTTCAGTACAACTGGGTACATACTGTAACTAAAAAAGTTAATTGGTCAATTTCATAGCCCGTTGAACAGGGATTTGAATACCAGCGTTGATATCACAATGTTTCTTTCGTTCCTTTAATACATGAAAAGTTTTTAATATCCTACACTCTGCAATCAGTAACCCTAGACTATTCTAACACCGAACTATCATTCACGGATAACTGGCGTAGCACACACAAAGCTCCAATGTCCATTTAACTTTTATGGTTTAGAAACTATATTAGTTTTAAATAGTTACAAAACCGTATCATTTTTTAATTGCGGTTTTTTAACCGTACCAGTAGTAAACGGTTTCAAAACCGTAAAAGTAAAAAAAATGTTCCTAATCATTGACTTTTATGGTTTAGAAACTATATTAGTTTTAAATAGTTGCAAAACCGTATAATTTGTAATCACGGTTTTTTAACCATACCAATTGTAAACGGTTTCAAAACCGTAAAAGTAAAAAAAATGTTCCTAGTCATTAACTTCATAGTTAATCGGATGGACAGATTGCTGACGGTTTATTTACCGTAATTTCAGAATGAAAATTCTAACAGTGTAGAGAATCATTTATATGAGTTTATTAATTATTCTGAGTTTCGGTTTTTAATGTTGCACTTTCTTTCAGACATTGTTTGGCCTCTGGGAGCTCTCACTGATGGTAATGATGGGATGTTATGCGTCCCTCTTACTACAGCTTCTCGAAGTACTTGGGCTTTTTATCTTCTCGCTTTTATTCTTATGATAATTTTGTTCTCTGTGTATTAACATTCTGAATGTACTTTTAAAACTGTTCACGTACCTATTTTGAATAATCACATCTTTACAAAAAAATCCTTTTTTTTTTCTTTATCCAATCTATTGTACGTTAAATTTATTTATTTACAATTCCAGACATCTTTTAGCGATATTAAATAGTTTGAAGGTGAGCGTTATTTAAATTAAATTACACGATTTTCATTAAAATTTAATTTTGGATTATGATACAATATATTAAAAAAGATAACTCCATTGATAAATCTTTTTTATTCAATTTCCTGACATTTTCTAATCACCGCCCTTAAAATACTCCTTGTAAGAAATAAAGTAGAAAATAAATCGATAAATACATTCGGGAGTGCAAGTTAATATTAAGTCCCGCAGTGGACTGATCGTTAAGACACGGTTCCCCGCAGATCACCGAAGTCAAGTATCACTGACTGCGGTCAGTGTGTGGGTGGGTGACCACTTGGATCAGTCTGCGTAGGGATCGAGGGTGTGCGGTATTGGTCCTCGTTAAACTGTTCTACCGTAAAATTCTCGACTTCGCGTACAGGTCTTCGGGCTACCGAAGCGGTGGTGCCACCCCCTCTGCAGAGGATCAAAATTGTGATGGCATGTCTTCGGATCATCCTCAGGGATGTTTCCTAGACCGTCGCTAATAACCCATTCTGCAGCTCTAGTGCGACGTAAATGAACTACAACAACAACAACAGCAAGTTATTATTTTAATGTGGAAAAATAGGAACATTATCAGAACTTGGCGCATATCTGCTTAGGAAGGTGGGGTTAAAATCATTAAAACAAATTCAATTTCTCTATGAAATTTTAAAATGTTTCGATTAATCACATTTTGTTTGCTCTTTATTTCTATGATAAAGGAAACAGGTTTTAATTTTTCTAATATCACTTTTCTCATTAATGATATGTTAGTTTCTAATAGCGTTTTACATTTTTTCTCCTAAATACTAATTTTTGATCTTTACATGGAGGACAAAAATTCCGGTAAAACTACCGTACTGTAGGAAAGGCAATTCTGGTAAAAAATAACGTATTTCTGGTTAATAAAACCAAAATTTTTATCCGTTCATATGGTAGCGGTTCACCGAACATATAGATTTTCAAAAATAAAATATTTCTTATTATAACAAATTTAGTGAGAAACAAAATCATTAGTGAAAAGTAAACTTAACCGAATAAATGGTGTTTATTCAATGCTCTGAAGTATCACTGTAAAACTATCAAATTTTCCTCATTAAGATGTTTTTAACGTATATTATAGAAAATCAGGACTAAAGCGCTTCGGTAAAAACTACCTCGCTTTTTGGTGTTTCCATGGAGCCAGAAACTCATTAAATTTGACACATTCCGGTAGTTTTGACCACTATTTTTTCTCAGTGTAATGGGTAGATATTTTTACTTTATTTTTTACAAGGATTATAAAAATGTATAAAGAATGGTGAGCACTTGACACTTTGAAATTTTGAGCTCAAGTTTTTTTTTTTAAAAAATAAGCCGTAATATTTTAATAATTGTTAAACACACGTTCTTTTACTAAGAAGAAAGACTTTTAGTGTAAAGTTTATTAATTTTCGGATTACTAAATTGCGAAAAACTACACAAAATCCAAAATTGTATTAAATTAGATTAAGTTGATAGTTTTGTATTTTTTTATTTTGTTTTTTTAAAGAAGCAAATAATTAACTAATTTATTTGCTTCAAAACTAAGGAAACAATTTGATTGGAAAAGCTACCTCAAATTAAATTTTTATTAAGTATTTAGGAGAAATTTTCTTTTTTAAAAGCAAAAAACAACACAAACAATTTATTGGCTTTTTTTAGGCTACTTAAAAACAAAATTTCTAATATGATAAGAAAACATATTTATTTTTAATGTTTTAAAAATTAACTTATGAATAAAATGATATACTATTTATTCACCTATTCTTATACCATTAGCAAAATAATAAAAAATTGGGCATTTTTTTATAATTTAGTTGTTGGTTTTACATGAATAATAATAAAAAATCCGCTTTATTTTAATAAGCTTGAGAGTTTAAAAGTTGTTAAATATATTTTTTCAATGACAACATTACAGACTTAAAAGAATAATACATAATTTAATTTCATCTTTCCAATATCGTATACAATTTATTTATAAAGTTTTATTAGGTTAAGTTAAGCAAACAATATTTATTGAGTTGTTTGTTTGACATAACTAACATTATAAGCATTTATTGTACGAATAAATTGTATAATAATGTGGAAATTTGAAGTTTTATGGCACAAATTTTTTCCAAAAGTGAACTGAACAGTTTTAAGAGTAAAATATCTGTCTTCTATTTGCTTTGTAACATTAATAATATTGTTATACTTACTATTAACTAAATAGTAACCCATTTAATAAAAGCTAAAACATATGAATAAAATAACTCTTCACAGAGAAAAAATTCTGATAAAATTACAGTTTTCTGTAATAATATTTCTGGTAAAAGAGAAAAAAAACCCGGATTTCTGGTTAATAAAACCAATCTATACTTTGCGTTTTAACGAATAATTTAGTAATTTTCCTTTCATATTGTAACGGTTTACCGGAAGTTCTGGTTTTCAAAACTATGTCTCTTAACACCTTTAGTAAAAATTTTAACCAAATACATGAGTTTTTTGCCATGATTTAAGGTATGATGATAAAATTTCCAAAATTTACCATTACCAAAGTTTATTACCTATTAATTTTATTTTATTGATTATATTATAGTTAATTTTATTGAAATTATTTTCAAAACTCTACGATAAAATTGCCAAGTTTTTTGTGTTTCTATAGAGCGAGAAACATGGTAAATGTTACCCCATATTCTAGTAGGGTTGACCATACTTTTCTTTCTCAATGTTTAATGACATAAAGTAGGAGTATAAATCAACAAAACACTGAGAAATTTGTCAATTAAAAAAGAAAATCTGGGTAACTGGGCACCATGGTGATAAGCCTCATTTTTCAAAATGTTAAGCAGAACGTTTATAGTGGAAAACACAGTTACTTCACTGTTAGCTAAAACATATTTTGTTTATAGTGCTGTCATCTAAATAGAAATTGTTGAAATTCGTAAAATACTTGTCTGGAAACTTTACTAAGGAAAATTTAAAGTAAAAAACTTTGACTTCTTAGTTTATTGCACTACAAATATAGCTTATTAAATTCTGGTGAAGAAGATGAGTTATTCTGATTATATCTATTTTTAAATATCTTATTCAATTCATCAAACACTTTTTTTTTCAATTTCTTGAAACTGTTTGTCACAAAAATAAATATACATAAAGCACGTAACAAAAGTTATCGAATGTCACATAAAGCATTAAAGAAATTGTCCAAGCAAACATAGACAACTCATAATTAATAACGCTGTATAAAAATAGCTAATTACTGTGTCAAAACTCTTTCGCTCGTAAATCCTTCACATTATTCTTCACAAGATAAAAAAGATTGTTTTGCATGCTAAACCCAGAGCTATAATTAGTCAAAAGCAGGTGGAAATGCAGCACCCATCTTTCTTTTAACTATTTTCTTTCGTGAATATTCATCATTGTTGAAAAATAATCGTTTTTCAACTACCATAAAAACAGACAGCTACGTGAAATTTTGAAATAAATACATTTGCTATAATTAAAATGCATATTCGGTGATTGTTCATTGACTTATGCAGTTTCAATTTCATATTTGACATTTTTATTCATTTGTATTTTTTTAAGCGAACAACGACGCGAATAAAATTACTGTATTTTCCATCATTTGAACATAAATATATGTTTTTATTGTTAAACGTGCAATTACGTTTACCTTTAATATCACGTTATTGTAAAATTCAAAATCAACTTGTATTTTTGTCATTAATGTGAAAGAAATAAGTTAATTATAAACCTAACTCTTCCATAATTATAATTTTTTTTGTGCCCTTTATTTTTCTATAAATGACATAATTTACTTTAAAAAATGTAAAACAAATTTGTATCGAGTCTACAACTATTATTAAAATTTTCATATAATTTATTTTAAGGCATTTTTATGCCTTAGTAAATTTGAAATGAAGTGTGTTATGTTTAATTCCTTTCTTAAAAGTGAAAGCGCTGACAAACATATTATTAATAGTTGTTCTTTCACTTATTTTTTGAACCAGCAATGACGATGCATTTTTTAAACAGAAGCCGTCGTCAGTAAATATTAAATTAAATGTCTTAAATTTTTTTTTCATAGAAGTATTAACAGAAAGTTTCAGTTTCACCTGACGTATTTCCTCCGCCTTTAGTAGTTTTAATAAGTAACATCAAAATTAAGTTACTGTTTTTATTCATTTCGTTTAATTGTTTTAGATGAAAGATATATTTCAATATAAAATTAATAATAAAGCTAATAGACAATATAAAGTTTCACTGTTTTCATTAATTAAGTAGCAAAGTATTTTTCAAGAGTTCAAAGTATATGCCACGCAGTTTATTTTAATTAAATTAAAACTGATTTTTTTTTTAATTAAAGCAAAACTTGTTAAATTGTAGAATATTTTTTTATCGTAACTGTTGCTGGTTTAGTTAAAAGGCATTTTAATAGAGGCTCTAATTATTTTTTGGTAACTAAATAAATTATTTATTACTAAGTTTAAAATATATACAAATCAGTTGTTATTTAAGTTATTTATTTCATTTTTTTTCCTGCATTTTTACAAATTCAGTTTTTTAAAGTCTTTATATAATGCAAGTAAATTTATTTATATTTTATTTTAAGTTAAACTTTAGTCACAGCATAATTTGTATTTGTCAAATTATGCCCTAATTGACATAATTTGTATTTGTCAAATTATTTTTCATTGTAAGCCATTTACAAATTTTTTTATCTGAATTCTTCGTTTCTAAAGTTTTGCTTATTGCTCAAATCTTGCTAATTATTAAAAGTTTTTTTGATTCATGGTCTTTAATACAAGTCTTTAATGCATGACATGATACTATATCAAAAGTTCTCTATTTTTTTAATCCTTTTCGCTTTTTAGTTTGTAAATACTGTCTGACATTTTATGCCTCAAATACTCTACTAAACATTCTAAAATTTTGATTATCATTCAAATAAATTAACTTGTTAATTTTTAAAAAAAACATTTTTAACATAAAAATTTACATTAAATATATTCATAAATCTATTTAGTCCTTTAAAATTTCAAATTTTTGTTAGCTTTATATCTAAATCATTTCGTAAAAATCTTTGCCATTTATATCACCTATAAAACATTACACAGTAATCAAAAGGTCTCTCAAGCTTTGTTTAATCCTTTCAACACTTTATTTTGTAAACAATTAACCATCAAACTTTCCACATCTGTCGTAGCAGATTAAACAAATTCATAGTTTACACGACAGCTATTTAATTTTATTTTAAGGTATTCCTTCTAATATTCTTAAGGAATGAAGACAATGCGATTATTGAATATGAAAATAATGGTCAAGAATATTCTCATCTCATGATAACTACATTTATCAGAATACTTTTTAAATTTCTTAAAGAAAGCAAATTGCTTATAGAGTTCATATTTAGAATATTTTGATTATCAGTGAAACTTTATTAGTGCTTTAACCGATTAGTATTAACGTTGTTTTATGCAATAAAACATATATTTTTAATCACAATTTAAAGACGAAATCTAAAACGTAAAGTTCGACAAACTACGAAATCTTTTTTCAGAAAAAAAATGTTTTTGTGATACTAGCATAATGCTCATGTTCGTAACTCCTTTATGCATAGCGTTTTTTTTAAAGGACCTCCATTTTTACAAAAAAAAGATGTAACACAAGTATTTTTAGATAGGTTTAATAAAACGTCGCTTAGCATTTTTGAAAGGACTTTCATGTTCACAAAAAAATTATAACACAAGTATGTTATTATTTGGTTTAATTTTACAGAAGCAAGATAGCTCTGTCTAGAACATGATATTAATAATATATCTATTTAAACTTTGATCTTCTGATGATAATATTTAAAACTATATTTGATCAGCTATATGGAACCATTTTATTAATAATTGTTTCTTAGTTCAAACAGAATTCATAACTGTATAACAAACCAACTGCTAGCTTCCGTTAATAAGTCCCAACCGTAGTTACATTATTTAATAATAATATGTAATAGTTACACAAAAAATGCCGTAGTATTTGATTTAGAAGAAACATATCAGGAGTAATTAAGTTTGAATTAGTTGATAAATTAATTTTTCCTTCTAAGTCGATGCGCACGCACCGAAAATCTCGAAGCAGTAAAAATCACCCAAAAATGGTTTAATTATCCTTTCTCTTCTGAGTAACACAGACTCATAGCATTTTTTTAGACCTTTACACTGACTTGTATTAAGGTAATGCAATAATAAAAAACTAAAATAACTGATCCAATATAGGCAACCCGTTTTTTTTTCATACTACTGGTGACACTAATTTTTATTTTTCCTAATATTTACTTAACATTTTATAGAATTATAACGTCTATGCATAAGTTTGGGTATCATAGTGGATAATAATTACATTAACATATGATTGATAAATTTAAAATAATTCAATTTAATTTTGAGTTATAAAATGACTAAATTTGACGCCAAAATCAACTGCCAAAAATAAACAACTCAACAATAGGGATCTTTCCCTTTGTCTTGTTATATAAACCATTTTTTGTGAATTGGGCGTTAATATATCAAGTTTGTTTACAGTTTACTTTGTAATTGGGTTAACTTTATTTCTATAAAAATAATTATATAAGACAACAAGCAAACTTACAGCAAACATTCTATTTGTGTTTTGTTTTGAAGAAGCCGCAATAAGTTTGACTGGTTAATCATTATTCCTACAAAGCAGAAGCGTTGCACTGCCAAAATTGCTTTTTTAAAGCTTGAATAAAGTCACACATAAACCTTTACAAAACAAAATAATTATTTCTTAGATTTTATTGCACACCTTAGCACTTTTTTTCTCTCCTTTATATGAAAAGGTTCTTAAACACAACATTATTTAAATGATGATATGTGGTGTTCTTAGTTCCGTATAAATTTTAAAAAAATTATTTTTCATTGTGTTCTTTTCTTTCAATCTTGTTTGATGACATAGTAAAAATATTTTTTTTATGTAAACCCTATTCTTACCTGATGATTTCTTTTTCAGCTGCTGGCTTTGCAGCCTACAGTTACGGTCGCGGAGGATTTCCAGGGTATCCAAGCTTCAGCTATCCTTTCGCAGGTATGAGTTTCAGCCCACCCCATCATCTTTGCTTACCCCTCTTGTCTTCGGACTCTACTGTGGGGCTATGCAATTTGCATGCATTACAACTATAAACTTTCATCGGACAGTAGATGCACCCACAATTTAGATTTATCGTCACTCTTAGAACACTCAAAATAAAATTTAAAAAAAGTGGTCTGTTCAAATTAAAAACCACAAAATGAATGTTAAAAGAACTTGATTTCTAACTGGCTGATTTTGAATTGAATCAATTATAAGATAGTATTTCAATTATGAATTGGTATTACATTTATGCAATGCACTATTTTTGAATTTGAATCAGACCGTATTTTTTATCCATATTTTATTTTTAAATATGGTTATAATAGGTTTCGTTTGGTTACTATTTGGGGAATTACAATAAGCAAAAAAATCGTGCGAAATATTAGTCAGGATGAAAGGAAATTTTTCAGACAAACTTCAATTCGCAAAAACACTTCTAAGAAATACGTTCGGAAATACGGTTTTTTCGTGGGTAGCGTATGTGTTGCTTTATTTATTTTTATGCACTTTCATGAGTTAACTCATATTTTTCTATGCTATTATTTTTATTTTAGGCGTTTTCTTGTGTTAACCCATTTATACCAGTTTTACATTATTTATTTTCATGAGTTAGCTCATATTTTTTCTGTGTTCTCTCATTTATTTTTATACGTTTTCATGATTTAACTCATATTTTTTTCTGTGTTCTCTCATTTTTTTAAATACGTTTTCATGATTTAACTCATACTTTTTCCTGTGTTCTCTAATTTATTTTTTATACGTTTTCTTGATTTAACCATATTGTTCCTGTGTTCTCTCATTTATTTTATACGTTTTCTTGATTTAACCATATTGTTCCTGTGTTCTCTCATTTATTTTTATACGTTTTTTTGATTTAACCATATTGTTCCTGTGTTCTCTCATTTATTTTATACGTTTTCTTGATTTAACCATATTGTTCCTGTGTTCTCTCATTTATTTTTATACGCTTTCTTGATTTAACCATATTGTTCCTGTGTTCTCTCATTTATTTTTATGCGTTTTAATGTGTTGACTCACATTGCTCACACCTTAACTCATGTTTTATTTGGTCTTAGTTATTATTTTTTTTGATAATTATGCTGTTGACGTTTCACTAAAAATCGCTATATTTATGTCACAAGCAACACATCTTTAATAACTCATCTTATTTCTTTTTAGAAGTTATTGCGAATCGAATTTTGTCTGTTAATTCACATCCACCTTCTTTAATGCATATTTGTTTCTGTAATTATTCAGTACGATTTATTTCTGTATTTTCAAAGAGCTCAAAAATAGTTATAGTTTATTTAATATTTATATTTATTTATTATATTGTTAACTCGTGCTTTTTATTTTGTAATATTTTTTGTTTAATTTAATCTTCATCCATAAATTAGTACTTTAATACTTGACCATTTATTTCCTTGTCCTCATTTTTTTTTCTTTATTTAGTTTCCAGCTGTGATCAAAATCAGTTCTATCTTATATTCATTTTCTTTTTTATATTTATGTTATTTACGTTAGAGACGAAAAAAAAACATTTCCTGAAAGTTCATTGAAATATCTCGGGGAAAATATTGTAACAAACTGACAATATATTTGAAAGTCTCTAAATATAGTTTATGTAATCCAATAGTTTAAATATTGATTTCCTGAAAACTTTAGTTAACTAGTTTGTATGCATTCATCTCACGTTCAAGTTACATTTTTGCTACGTTTTGTATGTCAGACATTCTTTATTACTTTTTTACTTATTTATTTTTATCAACTTTTGAGCTCTTCTTATCTTATATTCAACTATATTTGATCACATTATATGAAAGAAAAAAAGAAAAAATATAGCTGCTGACTTTAAGTACGATGGTATTTCAAATTATGGCAATGATTTTAGCTTCAATCAACAAAATATGAATCATACTTCATTCTTATAAGTATTTAACACATTTCTTTACATAGTTGAAAAATAAAATCAGTTTTTTTTGACATTATACTTAATTTTTCCTGATATAAGGGTGAAAAAAGATTAATTTTTTGTTGATCAAATTTTGAAAATTGTTGTCATTGGGTTGCATGTATAACTTCCTCCTCGCTGGCTGGGCCTATGCGGCCACTATTTTTAATTGAATCCGTGTTCCCATTTAACACAAAGTCTGCTGGTCTTGAAATTTATTACGAATCAGAGAATTGTTATCACTTCTTTTAACTTTGTCGGATGTTGCGAGAGCTCACCAACTTTTTTTTTGTTCTAGTATTTATAATTTTACATTTCCGTGTAATTTTTATATGCTTTACTAATTTTTGGAGTTAGTAGTAGTACACTGTAAGAAATTTCTGCTAAAAAACTTAACAATTTTGTTAACTTTCCTACAAAAAATTTTAGTTTCTCTAAAACTACAGAAATTTACTGCTAAACTACATCGTCATGTGTCAAAAAAAAACATTTTTTCCTTTAACAAATAAAACCTGTAACACAAGTTGTATTGATCTAAGTTGTATCTGTAAACTTTCAGTTTTAAATATGAAAAAAAAAACAACTTAGATATCAAAGCGGTAACAAATAATCTGACTAATAGAAGCTGATACCGACCGGTTTGTACGGTGGCCAAAATGATGTTCTTTTACCAGAAAGGTCCTGGGTTCGACTCCCGTATTTCACCGTCTGAACTTAACGACAGAATAAGGTGTAATTCTACTGCGATTCTACCAAATACGATGGCTTTCGATACCTCAAAAATCGCTGAAATTGACTATAAATGATTAATATTTAATCAAAATTTAAGAAATTTGTTTCTCTATGTACCAGGAATTTTCCGAAATATAACAGAAATGTTTTTTACAGTGTAATCTTTCATAAACTAAAATAAATTCTTATTTTAAGTGAGCTTTTTAGTGGTTTCTAAAATTGTGAATAGTCCGGTAATTAAATTTCAAATGTGGAATTAAATTTAAAAATAATTTAGCTTGATATTTCACCAGTAAGCTTTTATAAGAAGTTTTGGATTTTTCCCAAAAAAGAAAAACTCATAAAAAGTTATTTTATCTTCCAACGCTTCTTCCAATTCAATAAATGACAAAATTTAGTAATCTTTTTTTTTATTTTATTAGCATCGTACTCAAAACAAAAAAAAAACATTTATCTTTAAAAATGAAAATTCGAATAAATTTTAATGAATTCGAGTGCGAATCAATTAGCTCCTATTTTTTTTTATATTTTACAAATGAATGATATCTTGAAATAAAATGTGAATACTTGGGTCAAGTTATGCTCAAAAGGAATAAATGTTGGCAAATAATTTAATTGGTGTTATGAAAAATAACAAATTTAGTAACTTCTAATTTCTATGCAATCATAACTTTACATTACATACTCATATAGAAACGTCCATAGTGCGTCCACATTCCACTTTTACTTTAGAAGGTAGGGACAGCCGATATATCGGCCCATCCATTTTTAATATATATAAATGTAGGAGTAGAAATATTTGTGAGTGTGGCTACTACTTGTATATTTAATCGCAGCTATGTATTATGAATTCACTCTATAAGTTTTGAAGGTTGCTAAAAGAAATACAATACTTCCTTCAAAATTTTTATAGAAACAAATCTATCAAAAAATATTTAAATACAGTTAGGGTTTATAGGTTAAAATATACGTTCGCGTACCTTCAAATGCTTATACTGTGAATTTTTAGAATCCTTTGATAGAATAGAAGACGGAAAGAAAAGGCTAGAAAACAAGTTTATTCTTGGTCTCTAGCCCTAGTATATAGTCAGTATAAACATGGATCAGAAAACTTTAGGCATGGTAATCTTTAAGCAAAGGATTCTAATATAATATTTATTCAGGAATCAGCTCATTTTTTTTGGTTTTATTATTTATAAATTTATTGGATTTTAAAGAACTATTTCTTTATTGTTTTGTTGTCGAAAAGTAGGTACGTTTTTTTTTCGTTGTTTTTCAAAACTTTACAGTCATTTTTTTAAAATTATTATTATTGTTTTTACAATGGATTGTCAAACTATTTAAAAATGGAATTATTTTCTCATTTTAATTGCATCTTTTCAAATTTTACTTTTTGCATTAAAAAACTTTTCATACGTTTTCTGTTCGCAGAAATGGTTATCTGTACTTAAATATTCTCGAAAATTTTTTAATATTTCTATGCACGAGAAAGATTTATTAAAAATACAATTAACTAGCATTGTTAGTTATAAAGTACCAAAAACATGACCCTTTTTAAGCTTTTTAAATAGAAAATATCTATTTCAAGTAAAATAATTGAACGGGCATCTCCACTAAGAAGTTCTGTGTATATGATTGTTATTCCCTTGGTTTGGCTGATGCTTAAGTCTGAAAACTTTTATTTGCAATTTGGCTGATGCTTAAGTCTAAAAAATTTTATTTGTAATTTGGCTGATGCTTAATTCTGAACACTTTTATTTGCAATATATTTCATTAATACTGGCTATTTGCACTTCCACACATTTATTTTGCAGCAAGACTTTAATTAAGTGTTAGCCAATGTAAACACTGCGCGTAACAATTTAATATTTTATTTTATTTTAAAAATTGGCTACAATATTTTTTAAATAAATCCGTTTGCTGCTAATGTTCATGAGATTTTCATATTATTTTCATAATCAGTTGAAGTTAACGATTTTGATAATGGTATAAAATTATTATTTCTGTAATAAATGAATCAACAGTCATTACATTAGATCTGCTAATAAACGAATATACATTATTATATTCGTTTAGTTATATCATTCGTTATCGTTATAATTAACGATTTTGATAATGATATAAAATTATTACTTAGGTCTTAGATGAATTAGCAGTCATTAAATTTTTTTGCTGATAAACGAATTAATGTGATGAACATACATGATCACTTCCTTTGTCAATGCATTATTTATTCTTAATAAAAATTATGCATATAATTTGCACAAACAGA